TGTGTGTGTGTGTGTGTGTGTTCAAATCAAATTCACAAATCACATTTTTGAAGCTGAATCACTATTTACAAATATTAAAAGCAATCTTTGATCGAAAAAAAAGAAACTAAAAATAGAACTTCTGCAATGGTATATTTAGAGGCTATCAATCTTATTTCAGAGCTATAGATAAGAAGAGTTCTTAAGAAGTATTTATAATTTTCAAAGTATCGACGAACGCATGGAATCGGCACGTCTTTTATTATCTTTCAAATTTAGTTACCCGTACCGCCCTGATATAGCCTCCTCCCCAGGCATCTCCTTGGCGCTTTTTTCTCCTTGGACTTCCTGTGGCGAGAACAAAAAACAGGAATCCCAACAGAGAATGGCTAACCCTGATGCATCCTCTCGGCTTACTCGTAAATCAAATTGGAGTTTAGCATGTTAGGTGACTGAGGAAGAAAAACCTGAAAACCCAGAGAAAAACCTTGAAATCAAAAGAGAGAATAAATAACGAGTGAGATGCATGCGATTGCACTTCGATCCACTAACCGCCCCTTAATCTGAAAGTTTCAGTTTTGATTCTCGGAAAGATGGTCATGTATCTACGGTTCTGCAGTCAAAATACATAGCTACGGCATTCAATCAAACTTTTCTTTCAAATTGACAGGTTGCAATAGAGTTAATTAAACCTTGGAATGAAATATTCATAAGAAACACAGGTACCAAACAGCGTTTATCTGAAACGTCAAAACTTAAAAAATGTTTTGCCTTGTCAGCTTATGCCGGAAATGCTATACAAATTTTCTATAGGCTAAGGTTACTTTTTGATAGAGATATTATATGCTCTTTTAGGTTAATCAGTGTGTCCTAAATGTTCGAGGTTTAATTGCATGAGAATTATTAACATTTCTTTTTTCGTCTACTTTCCGCGGTGTTTCGATTTTTAATTATAGTTTTTTGTTTATCATGATCATAATTCATGTTAACCACGAAAAATGGAAAAATCCAATATTCATCAAAATCAAACAATTTTACAACGAAAAAGAAAGCTTTCTTTGAAGTCGTTCCGCGTGTCATGTCACGATCACTAGCTTGGGTTATGACGTCATTTAGTAAATTCAATAATGGCGGATACCTGTGGATGATCTGACCGAGCGTGGCTTTCGAAGCAAACTTTGATTTCTAGTTTTGTCAAGAGCGAGCCACTCAGCCAGAGATATCCAAAAGGCACTACAATAACACCCGTTCTTGAAACCTACGGGCAATATTTGGTTGGAAAGTAAAGGGCCTAAGAGAATGTTTCCGTGCAGACGAGGGACTGGTTAGCGTATTATAATATAGATACACGTATTTCAATTATGTTGAAACCTTTATTGTGTGTTTGCTTCATGCAGCTTCTTTGTTTGTTCGTGTGTTTGTTTGTTCGTCTGTTTGTTCGTTCGTCTGTTTGTTTGTTCGTCTGTTTGT